CCCTTCTCATTACAGAGATGCACATCACCTAATATGCTTAATTGGTAGTAGGCTTTCGAGCCTATACAGCTTGGAGTGAGACAACATGCATGACAAAATACTCATTTGCCTAATAATTCTGCACTCCCTGTATACTGAGGAGAAAGGGATGCACAAGAAATTCAAACTATGTTAAACACAAATCTGTATAATTGTTAGCTGAGAAAGTATATGGTCATGCAGGCTGTAACTTACACCGCTGTGAGTGCCCAATTTGTTGTTCAGCAAAATCAAAGATGCACAAACGAAAAAAAGGCATGAGATTATTATTCTCATATGAAAGAGTATCCGGCTTCATAGGCCATTTAAATAAGAATAAAAAAGTGACAACTTACTCGCCAGACATTGTTTTTCCTTTACACAATTTGGATGCTATTAAATTTGAAAATGGACACAAAGAAAGAAAGAAAGAAAGAAAGAAAGAAAGAAAGAAACTATGATGCCTAATTGAAGTTCTCACTTCTCACGTCAGGAACGAGTCACTTTACAAGCGGGAAACAGCAGCGCCTGCATTTTATAAGTCAGACCTGTAGATCGAAGATCGTCTATTGTGACGAATAAATCTCCCCTTTTCTTCTTTTTGTTTTAGAACAGAGGTTTCTCACCAAAATACAAATTCAGCACTTTATTTTTGGCCACCAAGCTAAAAACTAAACTAAACAAAAAACTGTTAAGATAAGACTCTACATAAAAATAAAATAATAAAATAAAGAAATAAAAGAAATTCGTGGCAAAGGGAGGAAGACTGAGTGGGGAACGTTTTCAGCCTGAAATGCGTGACTTTCTGTGGTCGTTGGTAGCTTTCATCTTCATATTTGTGGTACAGTGATGGCATCTCCAGAGAGGTTTACAGTGCGTCGGTATTATAATGTTATTTATTAAAGGCAAAAAGTTCCTGGCCTACCAATAAACCAAAAGGATTTCCACCTACTAAAGCATACTATTAGGTGTCTGGAATAAGAACCAGAATCTGATCTGAATGAAAGATACAATATTCTTCATTGTGTGAATGCTGCACAACTATGAAACTGTATTCTTCAGGGTAAGATGTATGCATAGTTTAAACGTCCTTTATTCTTGTGCACACTAAAAACTTGGTGCCCCTTCTCCAACTATTTCATCTATCCACACAATGTGTTAAACCCGCTCAGACATTAACACATGGTTGGATTAACCTGTTAGTGGCCCATGGGTGCAGAGAACAGAGTTCCCAGTACATAACTGTTTTTTGTTTTGTTTTGCTTTTTTGTATTGCTCAATAATAAGGTTTTATATTAAGTGGTTTAAGTTATTTTTTTTTACTAAGTGATCAACTGTCAAGATCACTGTCATCAAACGTTTTGGACATCAACACATCATGATCCAATAAGTAAATGTGATGCAATTGAAATATGTAAAATCAAAGGTTTATTTAAATTCAATTAAATAAATGAAATTGAACCTGATTCAATCAAATTCAATGTTTTACATTGTACTCGTGTAACAATATTATAGTGAAATGCAGGTTACTTATATAAAGTCAGAATTTATGGGGAAAAATATATTTTGTAAGATAAAATGAGAAGTTGATGAGATTTTATCAACAAAAAGGTGTCAAAGTTCATAAAGTTCTACAAAAGATTTCTGGCCACTATTCAACCCAAAAGTCAAAATATGAAAGACATGTGACCACAGCATATTAAATTCCTTACTATATTTATATATATGTACTTAATCCTTACTAGATATGGTATCTGAGTCTAGACAGATAGAGATAAAACGGCAAGGCAGTAATTCATATAGAAAAGAAAAGAAAAGAATAGAATAGAATAGAATAGAATAGAATAGAATAGCCCTTTACAACAAAGTTGTGTGTGCTCAACGCCAACTGTGCCAGCTCTGCAGGAATAGAATATAAACAAATCGCAACCCAAACTGCATATTTGTGTTGCAGTTGGTTAGACATAATTTCACAAGCAGTATGTCCAGACTATATAAATTAATTATGATTTAAAACTATAACTCTGAAACTGTGCTCTTCCATTATGACTTATAATAAATGTTGAGAGGTTCTACTAAAAAACACAAGTACCCACTTTGTTGTGTTGGAGACATAATAAGGGCACCATCAAACCCTGCAGGACTTTTCTTCTTTGAGCCATAAATGTTAGAAGGAGCCATGAACCTAGTGAATCTTAGCTCCTGCCTTCTGGTGCCCTTGGTTTAGTTTTCCCTACTTTGTTAAGTAATTTTGTTGTCCTTTTCAGATTGTTTCATGTATTGTGATTAAAATCTATTAGTGTAAGGGAGATTTAATTTTAAACCTTGGTCCACAAATATACAGTGGGGCAAAAAAGTATTTAGTCAGCCACCGATTGTGCAAGTTCCCCCACTTAAAATCATGACAGAGGTCAGTAATTTGCACCAGAGGTACACTTCAACTGTGAGAGACAGAATGTGAAAAAAAATCCATGAAT